CCCTCTGCGATAGTTATTGTTCTGTTCGATCAGATATTATGTTCGAGTTTGCAACGGTGCCATTTCTCTTGACTGACGCCCAGCTATCCTTTCGAGGGATGAATTCCTTCTACACTCTGATGTGATTATATACAATTGAGTTGTCAGTCAGAGATTTTATCAAGTTTCAATGTGAAGAAACAAATCCTTTGACATAGATGTACGTCATAAATATGAAAACCAGTACTGACGCTATTGCTACTACAAAAAACTGGAATCCGATTGGTTCAGTTTCTGTTGGAGGCGGTGACGGTATCCCGAGAATAGTTCTCGTAATCGGTGATGGGAGATCTGAAGTAAACTATTTTCATTTTTCTGCTGGAACCTTTCTATGCTTACATTCCCGTACAGAAGCAAGCAACTGAAACTATTGAGTTCTAGTTGATAGAATCGTCACAATAATCACAATAACGAAGTAATTTACACTCTCTTATCTTAGGAAAGAGCCTTAAAGCCCACAATTTCTCCCCCCTAAGTAAGTTGATTCGTCTAGGGTTCACGATATCACCTCAACAATGTAACAAAACAGGGGCGCGTATAAAGAGTATAAAAAAGCAGAGTTGTATAAACAGCATGCAGTATAAATAAGCATTTGCTTCCATATAGCGTTTAAATAAACCACATCGCATCACAACAACAAACGTAAAACCAACCGACCTATACTAAGTGTGACCCCGCCGGACTTTTTCCCTGCAGAGTTTTTTTTCGGTTCGCCACATATGATTGAAAGTCTGAAAATATGATCATTTGGAATATCATGCGATAGCTGGTCGTCGCTAACGCGATAACTGGCGTTATCGTGAAATTCTTACTCGTTCAGCGACTTTTCATAGATACTGGCATTACACAATGTTAATACCTAAGGATGTCCACTCTGCTTCACTGTTCGCAGCTCCCCAAGAAGACGCTCCCCATCACTCCTAGAAGAGCACCCTGAGTTCCGTCGCCCAGCATGGAGAAGGCAACACACTTCGGCGGCATAACAGGGTTACAGGGCCGTTTGTGGGCGGAGCACCCCAGCGCTTCTGCCGTTTTCTCTGCGTCTCCTACGATAGCCACATTACCTCCAAGAGGATACAGCGCAGATGGTAGGGCTTGCCATCCCTTGAAGCGCACTAGTATAATACGTAGCGAATGCGCAGAAAAGTAGCGGTAGCCGGCTTTGCAGGCCTGTAATGGTGCTCAGGAACGTTTCTCATCCAAGGAAACATAGTTTCCACCTGCACTCACCAGGAATACTATGCTAGCACGCCAGCGCTTACCCTTTTGAATAGAAATGAACTAATGAACTTTAAATATTCAGTTCCTAAACGAGTGGAAAAAATTATGTTCCATCAACAACAAAAAAACTTTTTTAGGCACGGCGTGCAGG